TTGCAATGAATACAAAAATTGTAATTATATTGAAGCTAAAACCAGATTGTATAATACTTGTAATTTAATTAACTATATTATTGACTATCATGACTATGAACGAAAATATTTAAATGTTAAAGAATTGAAGAAGTTGATACTCCGTGATCAACCAAAGGATAGAACACCTAACACGCGGCGTGATAGGTGTGCGAAGGGAACAATACCATATTATTTCTCACAACTCCAGCACCAGTCGGGATGCGAGGATACAGATGGACTCGATAAGAAACACTGTGCTACTGTAAAAAAAGGTACTATACCACACTATTTTCAGGTCTTGGATAAAAAAGCATTTTTTCGTGAAACACAATAACTTGCAAAGTAAATCTAAAACTTTTAAAATCCTACATCAAAATATTGCCAGCGTTTTATCAAAAAAGGAATTACTAGAAATGACGCTGCTAGAATTACGAGACGCGAATCAAGAACCCAACATTTTATGTTTTTCTGAAACCTTTGTGCGTGCCGGATATGAAAAATACTTAAAATTACATAACTATACTTTAGCAACTGCGTTTAGTCGAGATAAACAAAGAGGAGGAACATGTATTCTCACAAAACAGGGATTAATTTACAATGAGCTTAATTACATAAAAAAATATTCAACACAAAAATCATTTGAAGCCTGTGGCGTGGAAATTCCATTACACAAACTGTTAATAGTCTGCCTCTATAGAACGCCAACTTCTGACCCTTATATATTTCTGAATAAGCTTGATCAACTTTTATGCGAAACCCTAAAAAAATATAGACCAAATACGAAAATAGTAATTGCTGGTGACTTTAATATAAATACTTTAAAACCGGGAAAAGTCACTACATATTTAAAGGATTTGTGTAATAATTACAATTTGCAAATGCATATTAATGTCCCCACTCGGAAGGATTCTTGCATAGACCACATACTAAGTAACATAAGTTTATCTTCGGCGAATGTATTGCCTCTTTACCTATCTGACCATGACACGGCACAATTACTGGAATTCCCTATAAAAGAACAAAGTTCAAAGGCTATATCTTATTTCATTGAGAAAAAGGATTATTGCAATGAAAACATTACAAAATTTAAAGAATGCCTCGCTAACTTATCGTGGTCAGAAGTACATCTAGAAAATGACTTAAATAATGCGTTTAGTAAATTTCATGAGTCTTTGTGTTTGCTATACAACTTATGCTTCCCAAAAATTAAAATTAAGGTTAACAACTCTAATACTAATAAACAAAAGTGGATGAGTAGGGGTCTTCGGGAAAGTTGTAAAACTAAACGAGTTTTGCGATATATTTATTATAAAAGTAAAACTCTAGCAAACAAAATAAAATATAAAAAATATTCAAGCGTTCTGAATAGGTGTATCGTAAAATCAAAAATGAATGCTAATGCAAAATTCATTGAAGGGAGTAAAAATAAATGCAGAGCAACATGGTCTGTGGTTAATCATGAAATTGGAAACTTAAAATGTGAAAACGACATTTCTGAACTACAATTAAACGGGAATATCGTGACGAATCCAACTGACATCGCTAATATTTTTAATAATTACTTTATTGACTCGACAAATACCCAAACATATAATAATAATTACTCTTGTACTGCGACAATTCCTAACACTTTGTTTCTCAGTCTCATGACTGAAGATGAAGTCAAACGGGAGATAACATCGCTAAATAATACTAACTCCGAGGGTTATGATGGAATTGGTACAAAGATTATTAAAGCAAGTAGTGCGGAATTAGTGCCTATTCTGACACATCTGATTAATTTATCATTTTCATCGGGAACGTTTCCTGATGTATTGAAATTATCAGTTGTGAAACCACTGTACAAAAAAAACAATAAAAAGGACGTTAAAAATTATCGTCCAGTTACTCTTATACCTATTTTATCAAAAGTATTCGAGAAATGTATGAACAAGAGACTTTTAGAATTTTGTAGTAAATATAACATTATAGCTGGTGAACAGTTTGGTTTTCAAAAGCACAAATCCACGACGCTTGCTATATTTTCTCTTTTGAATAATATTCTGACAGGTCTGAATAATAATCACTTAACGACAGGATTGTTTTTCGATCTGTCGCAGGCTTTTGACTTTGTGGCACATGACGTTTTATTGAAAAAACTGGAAAATCTTGGGTTAAGAGGTCCTGTATTACAGTGGATCTCATCTTATTTAAGTAACCGAAAACAATGCGTTGTCGTAAGTAAAGTACACGAAAATATACTCACTTCTTATTTTTCAGACTATAGAGACAAAAAATGCGGTGTTCCTCAAGGGAGTGTGTTGGGGCCCATATTGTTTTTATTATACATCAATGACATTTCATTGGCTACTAATCACAAATGTATATTGTTTGCAGATGATATTTCTATTATAGTGACATCCGATAAGAAGCATAAATCAATATCTGATCATGAGATAGACATTAATAATACTATTGACAATATATTAGAATGGCTACAGACAAATAAATTAATAATCAATTTAGATAAATCTAATTTTATGCAATTTAATAAATCAAAACATGCTAAATATAATTTTAAACTGAATATTGATAGATTGAAAGAAGTAACACAAACAAAATTTTTGGGTGTACTCATTGACCAAGATTTAAATTGGAAAGTACATCTAGATGGCCTGTGCAATAGGATTAACAAATTTGTGTATGCTCTCAATCAACTAAAGAACGTCACTAATAGAAAAACGGCAATAGTAGCATACCACGCATACATAGAGTCCATTTTACGCTACGGGCTTATTATATGGGGAAACAGTACGGACAAAAACAGAGCATTTATTGTACAAAAGAAATGTATTAGAGCCATATGTGGAATCCGTCCTGACGAGTCCTGCAAACCAGTTTTTAAAAAGCTAGGCTTATTACCACTTCCTTCCTTGTACATTTATGAAATTTGTAGTTTTGTCTTCAATAATAAGGGATTGTTCCTAAAAGCATATGAAGTAATCTCCCAACCCAGAAAGGATCCACACAGGCTTGTATTAAGCAATACTCCTAAATCTGGGAAATATGCTAAAAGCTGTCTTGTGATGTGTGTGCGCATATACAACAAAATTCCGGAAGAACTAAAATTATTAAATAATATTAATATTTTCAGAAATAATCTGTATAAATGGTTAAATGAACATAATTTTTATAATATAAATGACTTTTTTGATTTAAAAAATGTTTAAATGTGTTTTGGTTCAATTGTTTTTTTATTTTATTGTAATGATTATTGGCGTAATGACAATTGTATTAACAAATATTTTGCATGCAATCTATAGACATTATCTATACAGCTAAACATGTGTACTTTAAAAACAAATTGTAACACCACTGTAAACCATGTTTAAGGCAAATAAAGACTTATCTTATCTTATCTTATCTAACTAAATTTAGTTGCTTTTTATATTATGGAGTTGAGAATCCTATTATCAATTCACCTGTTTATACTTCTACAGCTATAATTGGCTCTGTCTGGCTGAAAAATTGAATTCATCACATTAAATTTGGTTGAAAACCTATTATTTATTCTCAAAACTTTTGTTCGAAAAACAAAATAATGTTTACATTCTTACAATATCTTATTATTCCAACATTTTCATATTTTTATACTACGTTATATAAACTTTGTAACTTTCCTGTACTTTGGCACGTGCCGAGTATAAAATGAACGATGTTTGAGGCTTTTTCATTAGTAAGTAATGAACTTTGTATGGTTTTGCTTTGAATTATATAAGGTTAAAAGTAAAAAGGAAGAGCATTATCACTATTTAATATCCAATATATAATACACTAGCTACTTCCGCGCGGTTTCACACGCTCTACTCAGCTCCTATTAGTCGTAGCGTGATGTTTTTAGCCTATAGCCATCCTCGATAAATGCGCATCCAACACAAAAAGAATTATGCAAATCAGACTTGTAGTTACGGAGATTAGCGCGTTCAAACAACCAAACAAATAAAGAACTCTTCCGTTTTATATCATAGCATAAGAAGTATAAGATTAGTGATAAATGTATGAAATAAAATATTGTACAAGAATTACGTGTGCCACAATAAAGTAAAAAACATAAAGTGCCACAATATGAACAGAAATGTTAGGCATTAATATAATCATTCTAAATTATTACTATAACACCTACACATTAAATTAAACGTTATTTTCTTACTTGACTGACAAATCTCTGCACTTTTACGTCAGCTGCCATTTCTATATGTGAATTCTATTCACACGGAACGCAGTTAATTTTAATAAAATATATTAATACACAATTACAGGTAACGTTTAATAAGCCCTTTGTTTATAAAAATGGGAAAATAGTTCTGGTATTTATTTATTTATAATACGAGTATGTAGAGTAAAAATGCGTAGAATGAGGTCGAATATGTACGAAATATGGTTATTGGAATATCTGGTAGCGGTCAGTTTCAGTGGCATTTATTGAATCTTGACCGGCCGTAGATTGCCACATAGTTTTGCTTTGCTGTTTGGAAAAATAAACGAAAAAATGTGAATATAATCTGAATGATTCGAATTTGTTATTAAGTAAATTATGTACTTTTCGTAACAGTACCTAATTTATAACTTTGTAGTACTATATACAACAATTTACTTTTTAACCTAATAGTCTCTTTAGTTGGCCGAGTGGTCGCAAGTGTGACTACCGTGCAAGGCGTCTCGGGTTGGACCCCCGGGTCGGGTAATGCAATACTGGGTTTTAAAAAAAATCTCAGTAGTAGCACCGAGTCTGGAATTGTGGCCGCTATATGGCAATAAGCTCACCTCCTATTACATGGGACTCATAACATAAATATTGAAAAGTGGGTGTTACATTGTACAGTGACATAATGTGCACTTCTGCCTACCCCTTCGGGCATAAAAGGCATGATGTTATGTTATGTTCCCTTAACTATTTTACCATATTCCAATATCAACAAACACCATCTCTTTGTTCACAGAACCCATCAAATGTGCAGATGTAGAAATGTAACAATAAAACCAAGAGTACCATCGAAAATGAAGCGGCGATCGCTGACCACGGTACGTGAGGAGTCACCACAGAAGGCATACGTCAGTGACGTCACGATATACGTCATGGTGACCACTACAGCAGTCCTCAGTTACATGAACAGCCTCAATGGGGACTTTGTCCATGATGATATACCAGCCATTGTGACAAACGGGGATGTGATCGGGACGAATTCGTTGAAGCAACTGTTTCTGGACGACTATTGGGGAATGCCGATGGCTGATGTTAACAGTCATAAGTCTTATAGGCCGCTTACTACGCTGTCTTTTAGGTAAGTCTTATAATAAGTTTAGTTTATAAAAAAAAATCAGTTCTTTTACGTGAAGAGGACGTTGTAAGGAACTATTTTTCTTTAGTTGTATATATAGTTTGTTAATGTGCTGCAAATTTTAAAGCAAAAACTCCGATACTTTACTTGTCCTGCTTGTGGCAACAACAATATTTTGATCAACGGTTACACAAATACTAGTCGTCGATGTCCATTCGTAATAATTGAAATTAAAGAATTTGAAGGTAAATTGTAACAAAAACAGGAGCATTTACCTTACTATTTACTTACGTATTGAGACCCAATAACCGAGTAGCATTTCACGTCTAAACCATTGAAGCAGTCTAGGCTGTCACTGACGCTGCGGATGTAATGAGGTCAGGCAATTGTATTGACATAGTTGCCACCATATTGGCCTTATATTGGCCCATATTGGCTCAAAGACAAACGCGCCTCGGTATTGGGTCGCATCGACCGCGTTAGCAATGCACATCGCAATAATTTAGTAAAATTGGTTTCGGAATCGTTCTCCGCGACGCCGAGCCGAGACGTTGTGCGTTTGTTTAACGTATTGATTCTAGCGTATCTTAGTAGGTTTCTTGATAAATGTGTTTAATATTAAGTTACATCGGTGCATTAAACTAATTTCCTTCTACTTGAAGACAGACGTAGGTAAAGGATTTTACTTTAAGTTATTGTGTGTACTTAAACAGAGCATAGGTGCTGATATTATTGGTGTCTAAGTGAGTTTATTGTTAGTTAATGACAAAAATAATACACCCAAAGACTTTTTATAAACTTTAATCTCATAACAAAGAATTCTGTGATGATAATTAATCACTTATTCATATCATACATATGTAATTACTGTTTGACACATGAGTAAATTATAGTTCATTCACTTGTGTGTCAAATTTGATCAACTTAGTAGTAAACTCGATAAATAACTAAGAAGATACCGGAAAAATGAAAAGAGTAGAGTTCTTGGAAAGCATTTGGCATAACAACAATTTCAAAGTTTACTCTAGTAAATATTTCGAATAAGTTTCTGATGATGTTCTAGAAAACAATACAACACTTTTGGTTTGCGTAACATGAATTTATTGCCTCATATTTGTGTTTGTGCCGAGCCAAACCTCGGAAAGCCACTGCCAGTTGAAATCCAGAAACTGTATTTCCAGTCTATTGCCAGCAATACATAGCGTGTTGCAAAAGTATCGTAGGGGCGTGCCAACTTGCAATTATGCGTGTCGTTTCGTTTCAAAGTTGTTGCTAAACTTTTGATAGTTCAATTTGTTGTTTTTTTTTCAGTGTTTCTTTTTTTTTGTATTTTTTCTTTGAAGCTGTATGTACTACATTAATGTTTGTATGAATATAGTGAACTACAACGGAAATATTTTTATATAGGTAGATAACTTAAATGAGCTTAAGCAGGTCTCTCGATTTTTAGAATTATTTACAGTGATAACACAAAGCCTGGAATTATACTGCCTACCTCGTTGGCCGAGTGGTCGCAAGTTCGACTACCGAGCGAGTGGCCTCGAGTTCGCTTTCCGGGTCGGGCAAAGTTATACTGGGGTTTTTAAAAAAAAATCATAGTAGTAGCACGGAGTCTGAAAATATGCCCGGTATATGGAAGTAGGCGCACCACCTAGGACTCATAATATGAAATAGTGGAAAGTTGGTGTTACATTGTACGGCGGCATAAGGTGCCGTAATGTGCACCTCTTCCTAGATATAGGCGTTTTATGTTATGTGGAACTATACTACTGATTCACTTCATATAACATTATACTCATGAAATAACCGGTAAAAAGTTGGTGTTATATTGTACTATATATAAGTACGTGTAGTAGGTACTACATGATGTAATTGGATGACACATTCTGCCATGGAGGATTAAAAGATACGTTTATATCAAATTTTAACTTTTTTATAACTTAACAAAGCATAATTCATTAGTCAAAAGTCCCACACAAACTACAAAAAGAAAATAGTTTTTTAACCAACCACACACCCTATAAATTGTCACATAATTTTACTTCCATTAGTTGTGACGATAAGGTTGCGACCGAACAAAGCGAGAGATACCTCAACCCCATTTGTGTGTGAAAAAAAGCGGTGAATACCATAAATTAGCATTTTGGTAAAGTGCGAGCGCCGTCCAAGATAACACCATGCCTTTGTGCCACGTGCTATCGTAATTTATTAGTGCATAGCAGTTAGGGGGTGCTGATAGTCACGCATATGATTTTGGTTATGAGTAGATAAATAGTCTAGGAAAAATATAAAATGAAAAAAATATAGATGTATTTTTTAAGCTAATATTTACAATGAATGAGTAATAATGGTTATGATAGTTGCTTATAACAAGTTTTCTTAATTTGACAATAAAGCTTCTTCGATTTAGTTCGTTTATTTAAGTAAAATTGTAACTTAGCCAAGATCTGTTTTCTACCTTCTTTATTCTTTGCTTTCATGCTCATGACGATCGATAGAAGATTTTTTGTTTTGAAACATTTTCCTTCCTTATAATTACATTTTTACCATCATAGACACGAAAATGTTGATGACCATGGCAACTAAAAAAAAAACAAAATGACAGGATAATTTGTGACCTGTCAAAAATGTTTCGAATTTCAAAATCAGGAAATTGAAAAAATGAGCGGGAAAATGTGACAGTACAATTAATGTTGCTATATTTCCTTGTTTATTTATTTGATGATATTTTTTTGTGTCGAGTTATATTTTTAAGGTATTATCTTTGTAGTAATTCTTAATGACCATTAAACTGTCAAACACCAAGCGGTCACCGGTGACCGCAACCTATTGTTCTTTAATTGTGTCTATAAATACGGTACTCGACGAGTTAATGTGTTTTAGTCGAAAGTTTTATATTTTTACATAATTTTAAGTTAGTTACGAGTTATGTATGGTTATTGAACTCGTAGACTTGTGATTACATTCGCGTGTTGTATATGACAACAGTTTTTATATCTGCAACTCACAAAATAAAATTCTACTTTATTTTTCTGCCGTAGCTACAATAAAACTACAGCAACTTTCCAGATTTAGGACCCAAAAAACATTGTAACATGATTCATAAAAACTACAAAATAAAAGAGTTCAGCGCACATTCTCACCGCATGACAAAAAACAAAATATTTTAGCAAAACTTAAACTACCACAAAACAAACACAAAACGTATAACTTTGCTAAGACTATGAAAACAAACACGAAAGCGGCCGAAATCGGATTACACGGGGCGCTTTTCAGCAAAAACCAATAGCAGGGACCAACTAGTGCTGTACGTAATAAAGTCCCGGGACCGGGACGGGAAACGCGGAATTAAAGGAGCCCGGAGCACGGGACGACACGCCACGGGGTTTTTGGGTGCAGTTTTTATAGTTTATACAAGCTAGTTGACTGGGTTTCTTGAGGCATTTTTTAGCTTTGTCTTATGTTAATTTTTATTTATCGCAACTATGTAGTGTATGTCTATTATCTTATGTGAAGTTAAGAACATTAAAGGCATTATGATTAGTTTTAGCATTAGATTAGATTACTAACACACACAAAACACACAAAATTGCAATACTGACTCTCGAACTCAAAAAGATGACTTTGAACATGTAACGGTTCCGGAAAATCTCAAAAAACTTGTGGATCCCGGAAATGTAAGATATGTGACATCACTACCTTTGAACGAACACCCAAGGGGCAGACGTATAGAGGTCGTGTAATCTTATTTTTTATAGAAACGTGAACATTTCCTTACATCTGATAGTGTGAATGTCGGGGTGTGTGATAGAACTTTATCACTGTTTTTATTGATAATAGCGTGTGAAGGGTACACACTCTTATTGTTATTTATTTCCACAAACAAGAAATTTGTTTTTTTTATCTACAAGAACGGAGAAATTTCTTAAAGTGGATTTTGTGAAATATTCTGCAAGTTACGGCAAGGAGTTATGCAATGAACGCTGCGTTTGGCAGATGGATGGTTCCCCGCAGTTCTGTTATGTTAGATATTTGCATTGGAGAAGGAAATGCCTTGGTATCAATTTACTAAATAAGCTTATTAAGGTATTTCGTGTTTTCTGTTCGTATATTCTGTGTCTACATCTAATGTTAGATGTCTTGCTATTCGTATAGCTTCTAATGTATGTCTATTTATCTATGAGTATATTTAAAAATAATAACTGCTAAAAAGTTTTAATAACGTCAGCCTCAGATACTCTGCAACATCTTCATTTCACAAACTTCCCTCCGCCAATAAATAACGCGGATCCACGACGCCATTTTGAAAATCTGACGAATTTACTTCATAACTTTAACGAAATAAACGCTCCATAAAGACTTTTTTCCGAGCTAACAAGACGAAACTCGATTTATTTATTACTAACAGGAGCTTTGATAAATAGCAACTTGGGGTGTGTGCCAACCGCGGCAACCGACCGAATTAAAGAGACCACGCTCGGCAGCGGTGCCCGAATAAATTGGTGTGTATTAATCTTTGTCACCTAATACTCCATAAAGTTCAGAGTGATGAATTAGCTTGCACCTGACAGTCCCTAGTGAACGCACTGCGATGATGATATAATCGTAAACTGAGATAACAATTTGAATAATTGCTGGACCGTTTTTGATTTGATTGCCGTTAGGTGAGGGTTGAGTGGGGTCCTCGTTCCGGGGTCAAGATACTTATGAATATAATATTTTAACCCTTTCTAGGACGTTGACTTAAGTAGTTTAATGTTTCGTCTATTAGTTCACCTTATTGTGGTTGCAAATTTATTTCGAGCCGTGGATTCAGGTTTGACATACAGATTAAAAAAATGACTCCTGTGTAACGTAGTCTGAGATACAGCAAACTAAATTTCTCTAATTACCTTTTTGAAAAATGACAGTTGGTAACATAATCTTTTTTTTTCTTCTTTGGCAACCGAGTCTCCAATACGATGTTGTCGACTATGCTGCCAGTGTCGAGTTAACATAATCTT